AACGCGACCCGAGGGATGGGTGCTCGCTGGCAAGTGCCCGGCAGCAGGGAGAAGGACGGAGGCAGTGCCCGGACGGGAATGCCCAGCCCCGTCCCCCGCCCCTCGTCCCCGCGGTGTGCCCGCGGTATCCCCAAGGGAGCGGGGCCGCGTCCCAGCAGAGCCTCTTAGGCATCCAGCGTAACCTCTTCTCTCAGGGGTTATGAATAACAACCAAATTACAAGTTTGCCTTGGAAGATTAAAAAAAACCAAAAAACCAAAAAACAAGAACAGTGCTTACTTTAAGCAGGAAGCGTTCCAAACTCTGAGTATTCCACAGGCGGCAGCACAGAGTCGGTTCCAGCAGCTCTCCGGGATGGATAATCGCGCCGCTGCTGGAAATCAGCAGTGTAAACCTGAACTTCAAAGGAAATTTGGGGGTTCGCTCCCGCGTACAGCAGAGAAACTCCTTTTATGATCAAAGCACTTCCTCCCCTGGTTTCTGTTCAAGGGTAGCGTCAGTCAAACCAAAAATGAATTTTAATTAAAGACATCTGTGCTGTCATAAAACACTCAAACCAGAATCCAATAGCAGAATATAATGTAATAGTGACAACAAACGATAATAATTTATAGTAATGGCCAAGAGCTGTGACATTCACCGTCCACATACTGGACTGTAAATTCTTAGTGTTCCAAAAAGCATTTGGGATTTTTTTCAGATCAGATCCCTTTCTGGAGCTTATTTATCGTAAGGCTTCACTGGAAGTCACACAACAACATACCCAAGGTTTTGCCAAACCTGGTAAATTATTTCTTTCTTAATTACCACAAAAATAATAAGAACTGCAGGTCACTAACTCAGCAACAGTCAACAACAAAATGTTGTTAATACACCAAGGCTCCACCTCTCTTCTGAATCCTCATCCCAAATAAACAAACAACACCTGTTTTTTCAGAATCCTCATCCCAGATAAACACCACCTGGTTTTTCTGATGTTAGGCTGTAGGAAATTAGCAGAAAAAAATTCAGTGAAAGAAGGTACTAAAAGGGAAGTCATTTTATTACACAAACTCTCTAGGCAAGTTGATTTCATACCCAGTTTCATACTCACAAGCTGTGGGCACTGAAGGGGTCTAGCCTGGATATTTCAAGTTCCTCTTCATGGGTGATAAAGAAAGTTATCTCTATAACCTTTTTTATCATTGGGAGTGGTCTTTAGCTGCTACCTTCCTGTTGGGTGGAGAGGAAAAGGGGCAGCAGGAGTGGTGCAGGGTAATCTCTGCCATCTTCCTGTTGTTGCACTACAGAATCTTCCAGTGACAAGTTTTCTCTGTTGTAGTTTTATCAGGCCTGACAGAAGCCACCCAGTTCCCAGTGTGATTGATTAGAAACAGCATCCTTAGCAGTCAATACAGGACATTCAGTGTCTGCTGTTTCTCCAGCTGCTTTCACACACGCTGTTTATACTTTCATACACACACATGTTTATATGCTGTTCATACCAGATGCAGTATTTATCTTACAAGGCCTTGGAAGGTCTACTGATTTAAACCATCACTGCTCACGGGAACATCAGAACTGGCACAATTGCAAGCCCCTGCCAAAATTAATTGACAAAAGATGCCCAGGTAGTGGCCAAGAGCCCACATAAGCCTAGAAACACTTTCTCATTTAAGACACAGATGTGTGAGAATATTTGGAGCACGGCTACTAAGCTGTCCTAAGGAACACAGTGGTGTTTGAACCTTCCCCAAAGCCATCCCGGGCACCCCCCGTGTTAACTTTGCCTCTTCCGCTGCTCTCAGTACCTTCTGACCTGTGAAAACAGAAAGCTCCTGCTGCCCCCAACAGGTCTAAATTATTCCCGGAGTCTGGAGCTCGGGGCAGTGTCTCTTCCCGATGGATACAGCTGACCTTGGGGACATCTTCTCCACCACTATGCTGGATTTAGTGCAGCCCTTTCCCTGCCAACTAACAGACCAGAGCCACTAGGCTTTCCAGCAAGATTTCAACACGACCACTACCTTTATTCAACATTTCCCTCTGTCTCCCCGGATCAAGAGGTGGGTCTTGAGTCACTTAACTTTCACTCTGCCAGCTTTCCATTTTTTGTTCCTTCTGAAGAAGATCAGATCTCCAGCAACCCACTCGTTGTTTGAGACTGATGTACCTATACCCTTCACATGCTTTTTTAAGGAGAAAAATACATTAGCAAGTCTCCTGTGCTCACCTGCCTTCACTGTAGTTGAGGGCATTTCAGAGGGAACCCCAGAGAACCGTACAGTTTAAAGTAAATTTATCCAAAAGTGCACTGTGCCATCAAAGCAGCAAGAGAAGTGAAGTCTCAGGGACATTTCCCTGTTCTTATTTAATAAGAATAAAAAGGGCATTTGGGGAAATTCAGTGCTATAGTAACTCACATCTACTGAGGTGGAAAAGTTTAGATGAATGTTGCTACTTCTTCAATGGGCTGGAGAAGCCTAGAGAAAAAAAGAATAAAATTATAAAAGGGTCTAGAAAATAAGAAAGCTGCTTCTTTAGAAAGAGGGAATAAACTAGAGCTGAGCAGGGAAAGGACAGTACTGAAGTAGTAGGTGAAGACCAGAGGCAACTTCAGGGCAGAGGCAAATGGAAAGTGCTCTGGGCAGACCAGCAGTGGCAGAAGAATCAAAATCTTTTTCTATTCAGAGGAGAACAAGACACAAAAATCCCCTTCTGCCCCATTCTGTGTTCTCATGGCAACTGTTTCTTTTGACAGGGACCTGGCTGAGCTCAGCAATCTAAGTTCTACAAAGTTCTTTGAATATTACCTTCTCTGGTGCCTGTGGTAGCCAAGGTGACACAGACTCTCTGGAGAGACAAAGCCTTTGAAGTCAGTGAGAAGGAGAGTAAGCAGAGCAACCCCTTGTCCTAAAATCTAGAGAGGTCCTTGTTCCTCTCCTTTTATTTTTTCACCTGTAATATACCCTGCATGCTGGTGGAAAAGGCAACTTGAAATTCCTTCTGTCAGGAATGAGGCCTATTCTTTATTTTTTTTCCTCTGCCTTCTGGGTGGATACATTCTGCTGTTCTTCCCTTGATTTCTGGTCTAATGACCTCTTTTAAACAGGGCCATTTGAGCCACTAACCAGTGAAACCTGTGCAGGTTTAAGGCAAAGAATATGAAACAGCTGATCCAAGTTGCCATTAATTAACAGGGAAAGAAAAAAAGGATAGCTAGTGTGACACAAATTCCAGTAAAACCCAACCCAAGTCATAAATGCTCAAATTGCTCTTGGAGGTCCAGCCTGGTCATTTTGACAGCAATTCAACCATGAGATCATGGGCAAACCACATCTTTTCTCTCCAACTCACTTCTATAAAACAAACAAGTGTTAAATATCTTGAAGTTTGAGATCCTGCCAGCTTCTCCAGTGCCACCTGCAGAGCATTTCCCAGCAGATAAAGGTACCCACGTGGGTAGGGATACAAGCACAAAGAAGTTCTGGGGTCCCTTTCAGTGTCAGGAAAGGCATGGATACATTTTGCATTTGGATTGGCTTTCCACCTCCAGAAGAGCTGTGTAAAATGGAAGAGACCTGAATTTAAACTTTGCCAAAAAAGCAGGTTTGGTATTAAATGGACTTAACAGGAGTGGGTGTTGCCTGCACATTTTCTCTTTACGATTTCTATTTCCATGAAAAAAGTTAGCTTTGAAAAGCAATAATTAAACTCACTCCTCTCTTCTTTTGTTGTGTTTATACAAATACACTGTTGGCTTCCAATCAGAGCCACACCTGAAGATCACACACATATCCCACGGAAAAAAACCACAGATAATTTCACTGAAAAAAATTATATTAATGAGCATTTAGTCTCAGGAAACTCTCGTTTGAGGAATGCCAAGTTGAAGACCTCTTTGTAACCTGCAACACGACGGATTTCAAGGCAAGCTGAATCAGCACATAATTTTCGGGATGCAAGGAATGGTTGTCTTCTAAATGCTGAGCAACTCTTGGTTAAAACATCACTCCAGATTGAGTTCTGAAGGTCCCTCTAGCACTGCACCTTCTTTTATCCATCACCAGCGTGGAGAACAGACTTGGGAACATGTCCACATTCCCTTCCCTGCTCCTTTGCAAGAGCTCTTTCTCCAGGGGAGCAAGGAAGGACTGACACCCAGTGCCCAGTTCCTTCTGTCAGTGCCTTTCAACACCTTCCCTTCCAGAGACCACGGTCTGTGTCTGCTGCACGAAGACGCTCACAGAATCATCTCATCCTGGAACGACTTTGGATGTGATGATTGTCATTTCTGGACACCTGGAGTAGGGCTGCTGGACACCAAAGCACTGTTTGGAAGTCCAAAGAGAGAAAACACAGCGCTGGTGAGTTACTATGTTAATGAAAGGCTCACTGGATGCGTTTTCCCGTCCGCTGGTGATCTCTCCCACTAGAGGGAACTCTGAGGCCACCAAAGACAGGGCTCTGTGCTGAGGGTGCTCCGCGACACGAGCTGTGAGAGGAGCCTTTGCAAATACATTGGGGGCACATCTCTGTCACTCGTCATGTAACAACACAAAGAGCTGGAAGGGGACTTTTCCAGCTCCATCCCTCAAAAACATAACTTCTTTTTTTAAAAAATACTTACTGTTTTAACTTGGTATACAAGGAA